GGGGGGGGGGGGGGGGTAGGGAAGGCGGCGGGGGCCGAGCAGCTGTGATTCCAGCACCAGTGGCGTGTGAGCTGCCAGGTGCTCCCCAAAGGCAGTGCAGGGCAGTAGGCGGGCTCGGCCTTCAGCCCCACTCCCCCATCTCCTTCGCTGTGGGCCATCGCTGGCCTCACCAGGCCTCGGTGGGCCTTATTTGTGAGTCTTTACTTGTGAAACAGAGGCAGTTAGGTCTGAGTATTTACCAGTTAGGGGTGTTTTAAAGTTCCTGGCATGCATAGATGTTGACTAAATGGTGGAAATTGATATTATTGTGTCTGGAGCTCTGGAGCATGGGGACTGAGGCCTGCCACGTCTTCAGACCTTGAGAGAGGCAGGGCTTAGTGCGGTTTGGTGGTGACAAAGTGACGGGGAAGCCCTTCACCTGGTGATCTTCCTGTGTAACTCCGCCCACCCCGGGTACTTAGGAAAGTAACGGCCCCCTGCCCGTTACTCTTCTCTGAGAAATTAAAGACCCTTTCTGCCCAACTTTCTCGGAGAGAAATGATTCGCGAGAGACCTGCAGCCCCCTCTCGATTTGCTTCTCAGATGTATCTCTGCAGATAACGGCCAGCAGTGGCTATCTGATGTTCGTTGTTTGGGAACTGGTTGGGGAACCTCATACTCATGGATTTAGAAATCACTTTCTCCAAATACAGGTGCTCCTTACAGTTGGTTGACGTAGCCCTTGTTGAGTTACCCAGGACACAGTACACACTGGGGACCCTAGCATCCTCCCTCTTTTCCGTTACATCGTGGTAACAGAGAAGTAACAGAGTTTGCTTTTTAAAGAACTCAGCCTAAAAGCAGAGCTGAATATAAGCTTCGGTAGATGATTTCTGTGTTCTCCAGTCGGGTCAAAGCCCTCTTTGTTGTCTTCATTATCCCTGGAGAATAACAGAAATTAGACTGAGAAGCCATACCTAAATACATCTTTAAAAATATGTATGTGTTTAAAAACACACACACACAAAAGGGGAGAATCGCCCACATCCTCTGCGCTAAGTATCTGCTGTACAGTCTTGCTGATTCCAGATTTGGGGGTCTTACTGTTTGCTCATCGATCATGTGCTTTCCTTACCTAACTTCTGCGTGTTGCAGCTAGCTTACCACAGCAACGCCATTGAGATCTGGGTTCAGATCTTTATTAAAGGCTTCGTGTTCTGTTGTGTCGCTGTGTCAGAAAGGGGATTGGTTTGTTGTTGAAACTGGGCCATTACCAGCAGGTTCTGTGCAGGGGCATTTCTACCTGTTCTTTGGGTTCGTTCCATACCCCTCTGCCCGCCTGTGTGTCCCACATTGGTCGGCCGGGGAATGTGGGATTAGCTGTGTCCTGCTAGTAAAGGCCACCACTCCCGTGAGGGACCTTCTCCCAGTAGCTGTTTTCTCTGAGTTTTAGTAAACAGTCTCACCCTTTGACCCTTTCAGCCTGGGGTTCCTCGGTGAGTAGCTCCCATCCCATCTG